ACCACTGAGTCTCCTAGGTGGGTATTACTAATATATAACGCAAGTAAGGGTTTCAGGAGGGCACACGCTGGATCGAGGCCGCACGCCACAGCAGATGGAAAGGACAGAGAGGGAAGATCTCCCACACTCCTCCTGTCATCCCAGCCCCTCTCCGGCAGCACAGTGGGAGACTGGGGTGACTCGCAAAGAACCTGCCCCATGCAGGCAGGGCGATCCCCACTGGTATGAAGCCACCAGAATCTAGAGAGTGTCACACATTACAAAAGTATTGTGACCCTAATGGGTTACTATTTCTACCGTATACGAAGGATAACCGGAGGCTTTAAACACTGCAGTCAGCAAAACAATCTATACCTAATTAGAGTGCCAAGAGCTTGATGTTTCTAACCCTGTTTCCCCAAGAAAATCTCTCCTGCATTCGCAGGGCTCTGTAGTGAATGTATGTCTGTACCACAAAATTGTTGGAGAGATAACTGTTTCAGCATATTCGTCCAAAGACACAAGACCTATAATTTTACACCAAATTGGCTCTAATTGCCAGCAAAAGCATTGCCTGTGCTGAGGCATTCTCTAAGGGTTTGCCTTCGCTGCACAGAAAGTCAGACCCTCCCACTGTCCACAAAGTAAAGCCCTCTGACCTAGGGCTTTAAATATGGACTAATTTATCTGGCTAGGATTACCTGCTGAGAAAACCATTGAGAACTAATGATCTGTCCTTTCCTCTTCCCAACACTGAAAGGCAGGCTGGGAAGCACGGGGCCAGATTCCAGCTAGAACTGGGTAGAATGAAAGAAGTGGAGGGAGGTGTCTACAAAGCTGCAGGGAGAAATTAAGATAACGGAGAGAGGCGCCAGAATACAAGGCGCTGGGAGAAGTTGCTGAGGGAAAACTGTTCTGAGGCATCAAAAGGTATATTTGCAGTTTTAAAATAACTTTTCCAACTGCAGGAGAGGAAGAACAGTCCACTGGTCAGCCCATTAGAAAACCTGGATTCAAGTAGCTGTTCTGCCACAGACTTTCCTGAGGCAGTCAGATGGCTTTTTTTATGCCTCAGAGACATGTAGCTACATTGCCTTTTTTCCCTCATCTGCAAAATTGGGAATGACAGTTCTTCACTACTTCACAGAATACACTAAAGACTTTGAATTGCTCTAACATTACGGTAATAGGGGCTGTAGAAACACCTAAGCCAACATGCTTTTTTACTTATTATTAAACATAATTTCTTTTAAAGAAGCTGCTTTTTTTTTTCCTATTCATGAGTCTCGAAAGAGAAGAGATCTCAGTGTCCATTAAGACCTGCACAGTACAAGTGTTTGTCATCAACAGTTTGTCCTAAAGTGTAACTGTAAAAATATGAAATTCTATGTTAATAAAAGGAAGTTATAGAAACTTCCTTTAAATATGACACAGACACTTTAAGTTCAGAACCTGGAAGAAAGAAATTGCAGATAACAGAACTTGCTGCTCTTAAGATACCTGCCTTCTCAATGGCATCTACGAAGGATCACCATCTTAAAGTTTTTCTAGAATTACCAAGAATGCACAAAGAGGAACAAGAATGATTTGACAGTGGCATTATTTATGCTTTTAGTTTTTCCTATCTGAGTACAGAAGAATCTCAGTTCCAATGAACTGACCAGAGAATGAGTAAAGAATCTGATGATTAATGCTATGTTTGCTCTGGGACAATCTCTGGAGTGTCAGAGAAATATATGCAACAAAGCAGTGGTGTGACTGGGAATATTTCATAAGAAAATGTTAACCACACCGTGGGTTTGTTTGGGTTTTTTTTTTTTTCCTCTGAAAAATGACCATATGCCATCCAGGGAACATAAATCCTTATTTCAGGTTTCATTTTCTTAATTGTTTGAAGACTCAATATGAGTCAGGAAAGAGTTACTGAGGCTAGTTATTGTACTTGAACCGCTGTGAAGCATCAGACAGAAATGTAGAGAAAAAAATGTGAGAGGGATTTAGTTCTCTTGAGAAACCATCTAGACACGCTAGTCTGTTTATTTATCAAGCAAGAATAAGACATTACTTTCTGGGATGGAGTGAAAAATAGTTACTAATTGAGTAATATGTTAAAGTGTCTCCCAAACAGACATCCATACCTGGGCTTGCTGAGCATACAGAACAGAGAGAACAGAGTCTCCTGTTCTGGCTGTGCTTGCAGCTAAAGGTGTCAGCCAATTTCCATTGGATGCAGTGGCTGTGTGTCATTTGACTTGAAGGAGACTTGGATGAGGCCCTAGGCATCTACATGGATGTGGTCCATCAACAGTCAATTTTGCCGTTGTGCTGTTGGAAACTGGATTACTCCATTAACTTTAATAGCTCTGAAGTAGTTGACAACCTCAGATGAAAAAGAAGTACGTAAATGCAGAGACAGGAGTACGAAGTGGAAGCCTGCTCAGGATTTCTGCTTTCTTTGTGCTACTGATTGTTTCTATCAGGCAGTTCGTGACCCATTATGACCAGCTAAGCCAGCTTTTAACTTTGCATGCCTAGGAAAATGCAGTCCCTAAGGTAACATGTAGAAGAAAACATTAATTACTTTTTCCTTCCTCTAGATGGCCTTATGCTCAAATTACCATTGTAGTATTGTAAACGTCTACAAGAAGCAGGGAAATAAAATGAAAAAAAGTCTTTAAGTTTTCATTTGTTTTTCACCCCCTGAACTATAGATGAGACAAGGAAACAGCAGAAGTCTGATTAAGTTCATTTCATTTTTGAAAAAAAATGCAAGTGATTTCCAGTCAAAAATTAACTACTGTAGCGGTAAAAAGGGAGGAGACTTAACCCCCATCTTGTGCACATGGCCATTTGTAAAAGAAATTACCTTCCTGATTCTGCATTTCTCCTTCTGCACATCTTGACATTGAACTGGCAAGAAAACACCTCTCCCCAGCAAGCCAGAGTCCGAAGGCGAGATCGGTTACTGAGGCAGCCGATGCTTCATGCCCTGGAGAAGCTCTGTGCTCCCTGGGGTGTATGTTTCCTCAGTTAAGTCCCAGTTTAGGTAAGCTGCATCCTAGAGTCTTGCAGAAATAAGAATATATATAAACATATTTTTAAGAGCATAAGACTTGTTATAATGGCTAATACAAGACAGTAGCAATAAAACAACAAGCAGTGTACGCTAGCTAGAAACACAAGGTTCTTGTCTTCAAGATACAGAAAAGCAAACTCCTGTGTGCATTCCCAGCTGAGATGGCGGGACCCCGTCTTTTCTCCCAGAATTATTGAAGCAAGACATTTCTCTACAAGTACACCATGAGCATATCCTGCTCATTTTCCTTTCCCTTGGATTCTTCTACTTCCATCTTCACAGACAGCCCAGAAATACAGGATCAGACTTTTTTAATGGTAATTCTCTGATGTTCATGACACTAAGATTTAAACCAGGATCTGTCTGTGGTGCAGCACAAAACCAAACCTCAGGCCCTGGGATCTGGCCCATATGCTATCAAATGTGTTGGAATTCATCTAAGTGTGTAAATATCAAATATGCTTCCATCTAGTCTTAAGCAAGATAGAGTCATGACTATGTAGGCTCTGAGTATTTTTATTGGAAAGGTAAAATAACTAATTACTCAAAAATATCCCAGATTACTTTTACCTTTACCATGCTACAAAAATCTTTTTTTAAGAACCTGTTGTTTACTGTTATTGATCACCTAGACATTGACCTTTAAAGGGTGAGCTTATATGAGAGAAATTCTAAGGGGTTTTTTTATAAAACAAACCCAAGGAACTTGAAAAAAAGAAGAAAAATCCTTATCTTGAAAATTTTCATTTCCCTTTTCCATTTTCCCCTGCTTCATCCACTGGACTGCAGAGGAGATCACCCCCTTAACAGAAAGAAAAAGCATATGTCAACTTGCCTCACCTACAGAGCCTTCAGGCAAAATGCATCACTTTTTTGGGACTGTCAAGGACTGAATAAATCAGAGATAAGTGGGTTAAAATGTCAGCACCCTCTGGGACCAAAATAAATCTACCACATTTTTTCATCCAAGTGAAATCCTCACTGCAGTACCACCAGCACTTCGTTCATTCATTTAGAAAGACAACATAAAACTCTTAATGATTAATTTTAATTTTTTTAAAAAGAGAAAAAACCGCAAGTTCTTGGCTTTTTTTTTTTTCCCCTCTCCCATTGTAGTAAGTCTGTGGAAGTCATCTTGTGCAAAGGTCAGATAAGCGTGATGTGAAAGATGGTGTTAAAAGGCTTTCAAACTTTGTTTATTCATAGATATAACCCTTTCACCTCTGCTACATCTGTCACCGCTAGGTTAAATATCATCTAACTTACTGGTCACCTGACTTCTTGTTATTAGTACAGGAAAATGCCACAAAAACCACTGAACACTCACAAATCCATTACATAAAAATGCAAGAGAAGAATTGCCTGAGCCCTCCTAATAAAACATAACCTAACATGGAGTAACTAAAGGCACTGAGGGTAGCCTCTGGCTTTAAAAGCATTCGCTAGGCCGTAGATCATTGAAGACAACACCCGGTGACCTCACACAAACACAATGTAAACTCCCAAACTCATTGATGGCATTCCTAGCGCTCTGTCCAAATTTATATTGCCTCTCTGTAAACTGTTTGACATAAGCAGTGAAAGATGGAAACAAAAAAGGGTCTCCTCAGTATGATGAGCATACCACCAAAGGCAGCTGGATGCAAGTGAATTAACTCGTAGCTTGCTTTGATGTTCAAAGAAATCTCAGGCCAAGATGTGTGTTAACAGAATTTTTGTAAGATCCTTGGAAGTATATTTTTCCTTCTGGATAGCCCAAAAATATGCTAGAGTATAAAAATTCCCTGAGTCTTTTTTTAAAGGAGGTGCAGAGAAGAAATGGAAAAAATATACTGGTTTATTATGCATTTATCAGGCAGAATGTTCTTGCTATGTAAGTCAAATCATGCACTCAGAACGGCATGTGGGTGTATGTCTGTGGGTGTATATATGTGTTCCTCCTTTCTCTCCCTTTATGTCATTCCTTCTTTCTCTTCCTTCCCCCTTTTTCCTTCCTTCCTTCCTTTCTCCCTTGTCCTATAAGCACGAAGAATGCGCAAGTGCAAAACCCTCAGTATTTTTGCACTTACTTTCACTAAGCATGTTTCAAACACTGAACAAATGTGTCTGTTTTATACTTCCAAATTATATAAATTAATTGTAAGGCAAAAGCCAAAATGTGAATGCACAGAAACAGAGTAGAAGGAAGCAGCAGAATTATATCAGTTAGAATACTAACTATTTATTTCTTTAAAAAGTTTCAATATTAATATTAAAATAATGAAATATCTTGCTTGGATTATTGTAGATGGAAAGCTCAAAGACTGTTCTTTTTGAAAAGGGATGCTGCAGAAGTTTTGTAGACAATTTATTTTCAACATTTTAGACATTTTGCTCCTGCAATGAGTAAGTGAACAGGGAGGAGATATTACTGGAAAGTTCTCCCTTCTCTTTCTAAGCCATCCTTACTAGCAATAGATACGTTTTTTTCCTGTTCCCAAAAGAAGGAAGAAATCAAAGAGAAATAATGAAGTAGCATCTGAATGTGGCTTTTACTCTGCTACTGGAATGAGGAAGGCACCTTTCTTGGTAGCGGATTGCAAAGTTACATTACAGCTCATTCCTAATAGACTGTGAGATGCTACTATTTGATTATTTCTAGCATAGGCTGCTATCATTACGCACACTACAGGAACAGTTACACTTTGTCATGACTTTGCACAATTCTAACTGAAGCGTCAAAACAAAAACAAAGAACAAAAGGCAACATTGCCTTCCTGTGCAGTAAAACAAAGTAAAGAATCCAGAAGCATCTCATAGCTTAGAGGTTTTCAGAAAAGTTACTGCTTTTGAGCCATGAGAAAATACCTGGGTTGGTGTTTCTGTTTACTGCAGAAGACCACAGCTATAAGAATCTGTAAGGAGCACATCTGGAAAGCACAGATATATCTGTGAGAACAACTGCTACAAAGAGAGGTAAACAGTGTTGCCTTATAATTTGCAGCTGAAATAACAGAAAATTTTCTCTCTGGATTGGGCATGTAGGACACTGAGACTAAATCCCTCTTGCACTTTCATACTGTTGTTTTCTTCCTCTTCACTCCTCGTCTGAAAGCTCAGCCTAACGTCTGAAGTTGATAGGAGTGGCTATGAATGGACCTCGAATAGCCCATGTACTATGGAGTGTGATGCCTTGCTTGCTCCAACCAGCCACTGGCCTCGCTCTGAAGTGGAGCACACCTTGTGTTCCTCTGGGGCTAGATGTCTCAGCAACCCTTTTTGGAGCATTTTCCAGGCTTTCATGTAAGGATTTTCCCTCAGTGGGATCCAGGCTTCAGCAGACAAAGAAAATTAACAACTATATATTTTTTTCCAGCAGCAGTCTAATTTGACTCAAGTAGAACAGCTAATCATTTTGACCCATCACCTTAGGTTTAGAAACCTATGAGTTGCAAAGAGAATCTGGGCAGGTACACCTCCTCTGGTTTGATTTTCAATCCATTGCCTCCTGCTGACATATCACCCACCTACTGCTTCCAGAACCTCTTTTCTTCCAGAAGGACAGAGGATTTGATCCTCTTTCAAATGTCAGCCTTTCGTAAATCTATCCAGTTTATTTTAACTACATTTTCACAGCCTGTATCTCCCTTTCTCCACTCCTCCTAGGAACTCTAGTCATTACCCATTCTTAGTCAGCTATGAAGTGCAAATGGCTAGAACTTCTCCCTGGGCTAGCTCAGGTCCTTTAGCCCTTTCCTTCTTTTGATTGTTATAAACCTATAAGTGCGTTTTCTCCCTCTTGAGAAAAAAAGAAAAGAAAGAGACTGAAAAAAAAGAAGCAACATTCAGTATAATCGAATATTCTTTCATACACTGCAGCCTGTCATGTGAGTAGCTCCTGCCTGCAATTGTCATATAAACAGGTTTTAGAAATAAAATAGAAATTATTTTCAAAATTACTTTGGGATAGAACATTTTCTCAGAAACAGTTGTCAAGAGTCAGGTTTCAAGTACAACAGGATTCTGAGCCATGGGATTGACATTGATTAATTGCATCACCAAGACTGGTTGGCACTTTCAGAGACCTGGAGGGGCACTCAGACAGTGGGGCTTCCTGGGAGGTGCTTAAGCCTAGACTTTGATGTACCTGGTGGCTCCTGAAGGCACTAGCTACTGGCTCTGTAGTGAACCATAGCTTGTATGCATTCCTCTAGCTCTGCTGGAGTAACACTTCTTCCTTTGGCTGCCTTGTCTCTCAGCCCAGCTCCTGGTGCTATGCCCACTCCTAGAGAAATCACTAACATCTTGTATTGGTCCTCTGCCCTCAGTTCTTGCCTTGGCTTGATGCACAGAATAATAGAATCACAGAATAGCTGAGGTTGGAAGGGACCTCTGGAGACCATCTGGTCCAACCCCCTGCTCAAGCAGGTACACCTACAGCCAGTTGTCCAGGACTGTGTCCAGACAGCTTTTGAATATCTCCACAGATGGAGACTCCACAACCTCCCGGGGCAACCTGTGCCAGTGCTCGGTCACCCTCACAGTAAAAAAGTGTTTCCTGATGCTCAGCGAGAACCTTCCGTGTTTCACTTTGTGCCCATTGCCTCTGGTCCTGCTACTGGGCACCACCGAAAAGAGCCCGGCTCCATCCTCCTTGAACCCTCTGTTCAGCTATTTATATACACTAATAAGATTCCCCCCCCGCCTTCTCTTCTCCAGGCTGAACAGCTCTGTCTTTCCTCAGAGCAGAAACACTCCAGCACTTTAACCACCCCCTGCTCCTTTTCTGCCCATCTGCTCTCCAGCTGGGTGGCCCCCTGCACCTCCCCACGCTCTTCCTCCCCAGGTGCAGGAGTTGGCACTTCTTGTGAAACCTCACGAAGCTCCCGGTGCCCCGTTTCTCCAGGCTGTCGGGGTCCCTCTGGGTGGCAGCACCACTCACCGGCGTGCCAGCCGCTCCTCTCGGAAAGGTGTCAAAAAGGGACCTGCGTTGGCCGGGAATCGAACCCGGGTCAACTGCTTGGAAGGCAGCTATGCTCACCACTATACCACCAACGCGCCGGTGTCTGCTTTCCTGTTCCTGAATTCTTTCTCTTCTAGTTTCCCTCTGTTCTTGCTCTAACCACAGGGCTTACTAACTGCTCACCACAAGCACAGAAAAGGACTCCTGAGGGAAATATTCCAGTTTTCTTCACAGCTGCCAAGGATACTAGAAAACTTTTTCTTTTCTCTTCTTTTTCTTTTTTTTTTAGTAATGAAAAAAACCTAAGGTATCCTAGAGTGAAATATTTCCAATGTCCTGATTTGTTTAAAAGAAATTCCAAATAAAAGGACTAAAACCTTCAGAAATGGCACTGCAGATAATAGCACAATTGGAAAAAAGGGCAGCTCGCAGCTCCAGTCTAATGAAACAAGCATCCTCATTTCAACATTTTTAGTAAAAGGAATACTCTTGCCAGCATTAATGTTGACCTATGATGAACTTTTTATTTCATGTTTGAAAGGTTAGGTGGAAAAAAAATTATATGAATGATGTATGTTGTCCTTTCCCTCAGCTACTGTTTTTCTCTTCTCAGTATCATCCAAAGAAACACAAGATCACATGGAAAATGTAGCTGAAAATAAACTGAACAGATTAGCAAAAGGTTGATATTTGAAAGAGGATTATCTGAAACACAAGTTTGAAATTTTGAATCTCAAACTTAAGTACATTTTTATCACATAATGTATGATGAAAGGTTTTCTATTACAACGGATAGAGCCAACAAACTACTTTAGAGGGACAAATTCTCAAAACTCACGTGCTATGAGGATATCCTATGAATAACCCAGGGCATTCTAGGGCATCTGTGATTTCTTTTCTGAGAATGTCCTGTTTACAGACAGACCTGGTTCTTAACATGTGTCATGGTTTAACCCCAGGCGGCAACTAAGCCCCACACAGCCGCTCGCTCACTCTCCCCCAGTGGGATGGAGACAGAATCAGAAGAATAAAAGTTAGAAAACTCATGGGTTTAGATAAAGACAGTTTAATAGGGAAAGCAAAAGCCACATATGCAAGCAAAGTAACCCAAGGAATTCATTCACCGCTTCCCATGGCAGGCAGGTGTTCAGCCACCTCCAGGACAGCAGGGCTCCAACACGCCTGACGGGGACTTGGGAAGGCAAACGCCATCACTCGGAACATGCCCCTTCCTTTTTCTTCCCCCAGCTTTACATGCTGAGCATGACATCGTATGGTCTGGGATATCCCTTGTGTCAGTGGGGGTCAGCTGTCCCGGCTGTGTCCCCCCCCAACTCCTTGTGCTCCCCCAGCCTCCTCGCTGGTGGGGTGGGTGAGAAGCAGAAAAGGCCTTGGCTCTGGGTAAGCACTGCTCAGCAGTAACAAAAACATCTCGGCATTATCAACACTGTTTCCAGCACCAATCCAAAACATAGCCTCATACTAGCTACTATGAAGAAAATTAACTCTATTCCAGCCAAAACCAGTACAACAGGCAGGAATGTATTGCTTTTTCAGCAAGTTTATGGGTGAAAACATTCTGTGCCAGCTCTCAGTTCTGTAATAAAGAGACTTTTAGGTGTCTTTCACTCTCAAGTTCTCAGTCTCAAGCTTACTGCAATGGTTGTTAGAAAAGTTGTGAGACCTAATATTGGTTAGACATCCATTGGTCTCCTGATTCCTGACCCCTACTGTCACTTTGCCTGCATCTGAGGAATGAATAAGTCCATAACAGGTCCCTCAGTCCTGTGCATACTCTGGCCATTTTACCCAGAAACATTTAGTGTTTGTATTGGTGAAATTTTATGCAACCTTAGAGAAAAGTCTACAGAGCACAGCTACATCGTAGTAAGATATCAAGTCTTCTCTCATTTTCTCCTCGCAATTTAAAAAAACAGAAAAAACAGCCAAGATCTTATTTGGAAGGCTCTGCAAATAGGCTGTGAGTGCATACTGTTAAGTGTATTTATAACTA